AAAGGGTTGCACAACAATTCACAGGTCAGTTTCCAATCTCATACCTTGTCTTTTACTACACTATGCAGCAAAAGGACTGGTCTTTCTGGCTGGAGTACTCAGCGGACTGACTTGCCTCGGCCTCGCCTGCTCCTACAATCAAAGTCCTTAACGCTTCAACCTTCGCCTGGTGCCCACGTACACGAGGCCAATAGAGACTGAGCTCAAGATCTCGTGAATGCTCTTTGAATGCCTTACCAACAATGTCGACCACCGGATTCCAACTCTTAATGCATCAGGCTGTCATCCTCCCAGTGTGCTGAGCAGAATCGAATGGGGTCGGCAATATGCAGGCCAATGCACGGCCAAACCGGCCTTGCTTAGTCTGAGGTCCGGTCCCGTAGCCCAACACCCAGTTTGCCCCGCACTTCAATTCTAGGTGAGCACTCCCTCTCTCGTACCCTCTCTCTCTTCGTCTCCTTCCTTCACTATGCCGCGCCTATCTCCATCTCCCTCGATCCCTTTGCACTGTCTAATGCACCTGGCCGATACCCCGGCCAGGTTCACACACTCTATCTCCCGTCTATGTAGGGACGGGAGTACCAAGAGCGCACAACATCCCACAGTAACTATGACGAGGAATGAGCTACAACAATGAGCGGGAAATGCTTCTTATCATGGAGTTGGCAAAGAGATTGGCTCGGCGGAAACAGAGGTCATGACTGCAGCACCAAATGAATCTCTCACTGAAACATGTGTCAGGTGCACTCCAATGATCGCTTCAGGCAGCACAGATGGGTTCCCTTCCTTGAACAGGTGGGACAGACTCCACACCATGCTCAGGTAAGCTCCCACCCTGCATTAGTTTGTCAATTACCTCAATCAATTAGATAAGTAGATTTAGAATGAATCTATCGCTAAACGCGACTGGTTGCATTGTCACCTCATTAGCGCACCATAGCTAGGCGCATCACTACTTCATCTAACTCCTAACTTACTAACTTAGTATAAAAACTAACCACGGATTTGAGGTCGCCCGCCCCCAAAACCCCTACTACGAGCTTTCTCTTGCCTGATTTTGTTCAGAAGTGGGCTCGCCCGTTTCCTCCTCTCCCTTCCTCTGTCCGCCATAGCTCCAACGCACCACTTTCCTCGACTAACACTTATTCTACTAACTTTCTCCTAACTTTTTCTTCACTATCAGATTAGCCCTACCCACAAACTTTTGTTTAATATCCTAGTCCACTTGATTCCGTCCAGAGTCAGGTAGACTAGACAAATCTCGCCTCGCCATAGTCATCTCTCTCGATACTTCTGCGCACGGATTTTCTCTCTAACCTTCTGTTCCACTAATCTAACACCGGAACTAACTTCATCATTGTGCTCGCACCATGTGAAACCCCATATCTACCAACTTAGTTCACTCAATTTGGATAATAATCGAGTGAGCTAGGCACTTATTAACCCGCTATACTCATCTCTCTCTCTCTCCGGTGTTGAATGCACCCGGCGCGATTCAGCGCCAAGGTTCGTTCCTCTTCCTTTGCAGCCCTACCCGCTATCTGCCTGGCGCGGCTAGTCTCCTCCGCTGCCTCAATGCTCCCGGTCGTACTACCGCCTCGCTCCACTACTAGCGCCCGTCGGCATTCAGTGCGGCCACGGTGATCAGTCTCCGACCCCGCCAAGCTAGTACGTAGCTTAGTCAGCCTTCCGTCCCACCTACTACAACCGCCGGGTTCTGCAGGCCGCCGCTACACAGACCACTGTCACAACGTCTCCGCATGGCTTATGCAGGAACAGATGAATAGCTGCGCGCTGCTTCTTGATTTATACCTCTGCGGCATGCCGTTGTTCAAGCCCAGTGGTCTCTGTCAAGCCCGATGGACGACCTCGACACGAGCTAACCACTAGCCTCCCGCCGGGCCAGACTAATCTTCTCTCTATCGTCCCAATTTTAACGGGTGTCCCGAAGGACCTTTAACCGGGACAGCGCCTTACGGCCTTCCAGTGGCGGATCGGTACCTCCCGCTGTCTACATGGTGCAGTCGTACTCATTGGGTTTCTCGACCTGGCTTGGAACTGGCACTGGTCAAATCAAGAAAAAAAAAAAAGAAAAAAAAAAAGGCTTGAGACAAGCGGGCCCGCGTTCTGCTTCCCCCACAAAAACTAAGGGGGATAGTACCGAGGGACCCTCAACCCCTCAGCCCTTCAATGCTCCAACGCTCCTATGCTGCCCCCCGCTGACCTCGATCCCAGTACCTTCGCAGCAATAGTCCAATGTCGTAACCTATAAGGCTAAGCCCAAGCCTGAGACCAATAGGCTCAAAATCCTATATGAAGTGGCACTGTGCAGTGCTCAGGGCCAAGAAATGCCCCGGGCTGTTCCTTAGCCTGCATTTGCACCTGCGGCCACTAAGCGTCCACGCCGGCGGGCCCCAACTGTACCATGGTCACTACGCACGCCATCCTATGCGCCAAGCCTAACGCCATCTAGACGCACCGGGCAAAAAGGCGGATCTTTCAAAAATTCCCTAGTTTAACCAGAGAAAAATAAGACTCGGTCGATCAATTACGCCGACCCCCTGATTAACACAAGGGAACAAAATCACACGCGTGCCTTAAAACTGAGCGCTCACTCACTCTTCCTATTCGAAACGACCCTCAGCCTACACTCAGACGATCTCGACAAACTGTGAGGTTACCCGACAAATCGAATTACCTGAACTTTCTGGTCAGTTGCAAAACACAGGGCGGATATCCTTGTCTGGGTATTCGCGCCGATAGCTTACCGGACCATATTAAGCGACGTCCCCGTCGCTTCGCAAGATCAAAAAGCTATAAATCCATTCACATTTCGAATGCTGATGAGAAAGGAATCAATCCGATTAGCCGACAGACGCAGGGTTGAGGCCTCCAGTAATCCAAGCTCTTATAACTATATGCCACCAGGGTTCCAACATGGGTCTCCATTGTCCTGACAATAGGACGCCGGTGTACTGGACATACGTACTACATCATAAGTCTCAGCGACCCCTCTCACCTGTCCTCTCCCCTTTGTCCTAGACAAACACTGGTTTCTCGTTATGTGTCCTTAGTCTATACCCTGCGAGCAGGGCCATAACTAGGGACGTGGGCCCTAACCGAAACCTTTAGAAGACACTCTTGCCTCCCCCCAATAATTCTCACAATTAAACATATATATATATATATATATATATATATATATATATATATATATATATATATATATATATATATAAATCTTACCTCAACATACCTCCTGCAGTCTAGTACAGGAAGGCTAGGTCTCCATTTTGGCCCACCATAATCTGGGTGATCATGCCAGATTTACGACTCATCACGTTTGATATTTCAGCGGTAGTGTCCTCGCAGGTTGTGCCACGATTGGCTTTTTCTCCTGATAAGCATTCAGTCAGGACTCTAAAAGACTCGACTCTTATCTCACGTTATCCCGCGACAGGTAAACGCTCTTGGGTGACCACACCCCTTTAAGTCTTTACCCCTTTCCGGTGAGACGTGGGCCCGCTGTCAGGTTGTGCCGATCAACAGCCAAGGCTGAGGGTTGCGCCTCAACGGTGCCAGTTATACCCTTAGCTGGATCTCTCATAATGCCCCAAGATTAGCACAAGTGGCTGGACGGTGTGTCGCAACAATACAAACCTACTTCAGGACTACGCAGAGGTCTGTCACATATAAAAGGTATTTACCAGTCCTCTGTGGGACAACACAGAGAGACACGACAACTTTTGCCAGGCTCACCAGGCCGTGACCTACTTACTTGATCAGAGCAAGAAGGACACCTCTCAGCGACATCTTCCAATGAAGCCTTTTACGACTTTCAAAAAAATTCCAACAATGGCCAAGCAAAAAAACCATGGTCCTTCTCGTCAGGCTTTATCATTCAAACAAGCTTACCATGCCATTGAATCTATTACCCACCTTTAGTCATCGAAGGTGCCTCTCACATTGAGTCTCCCAGTCATGCCCCCTTATTTTATGATGATTTCCCCACGACCTTTTTAACACATCTCCCATCTGGAGATGAGTCTTCCAACAAACAAATATCATCACCCTTCCGTACTGAAGGTTTTTTTTTATCCATAAAATAACTCAACACTGAGGGACCATCTTATGGGTCCTTGCCACAACTCAACAATAAAACGTTTTGGCATGGTGAAGCATTTGAGTCTCAGAGACTCATAAATCTCTTAGCACTCTCACACGCTTTCACAAAAACAGACTGCACCCCCTCTCCTTATACCCGGCCTGAACATCTTCTCGTAGGCAGGCAGCACGAGTATACCGAAGAGCAGACAGTTTTACATGGTTCACATTATACAAAACATACAAGATGTTCCTCATACATCCTCACACACTGAGTCCTCATACAAAAGGACAAAACCACACATGTGAGAGTGATTGTGATCGTCATATACAAAGGGTTATCTAAAATAATACTTAACTCAGAAATACACTCAGGGATGAGATGTCTCATTCAAAAATATACACAATAATCCCGTTCCATGACTTATTCAAAACAACTCAAGTCACTCCCAATATAGTACATGGTCAACTATACAAGGAATTTACTACAACAACCCAGAACTCTATGGTCACTCAGTATACACTCCTTGTCTTATATGGTTCTAATCTCAATGGGCATATGCTGTAGTCCCCCATCTGTACACTCAATGGCATAGGTATCTGAATATCATAGTAAAAGCAAAGGTAGTAGTGAAAAGTGTGCCCTCAATGAGATGAATCAGTCCCTACTCACTCATCTCCTCCTGGTTCTGTCTATACAGTTGAGCCCTGCCTCCATCGGCAGATCGCTCTACTACTCTACCCTGTCTATCATACATCTTTCCGCCACTCCTCGTAACTTTCCCTTCAACCAGGTCCTTCAAGAACTTAGGACACTGCAGGGCTCGATGGCCTTCCTTTTTGCAGAAAAAGCAGGATGCGTCAAACTACTTCTTGGACTTCTTCTTCTCCCCCGGAGACCCTGGTGACGATGGTGCCCCGCTGGTCTCTCTGCCCAGCTAGTAACTTTGAGGCACGTCCATAGACTCCGCATTTCCTGTCCCCAACTCCTGAGTACTAGGTCCTGGTCGCAACCCAACTCCCTCTGGCCTATACTCGGGCGTGCCCAACCTCTGGGGCCTGCCCTCGAAGACGCCCTCTACCGCAATCCCCATCTCTCCTTCAGGAGGCTCCTCTATCCTCTGCTCAGGTGAAAATAGGCTTGCCTCCTCCTGCACAGAGTGAACCGCATCGAGCAACACATCCATAGATCCTTCTGCTGAGCCCTCGACCAGCTCACTGCTGGCCGCCGACATCCCCTCCTCAACTGATAGTGGCATGGTGGGGCCCGCTGCTACTGTAGGCAGTGTAGCGAGTTCAGTAGGGGCTATGAACTCGAAGGCTTCTCTCTCTGCCTCCCTCTTGGCCTTCACCTCCTCAGGCTCCAAGATGACTCTTCCCATGGACGATCCCTGCTAAGGTTCAGCTGCGGATGGATGCCTTGATAAGCCATGCCCCGGCGGTCTCTGCTCTCCCTGTTGGTTACGCTCTGCTCTGTCCATTCCACTTCGAAGCTACTATCTCAGGTCCTGAATGATGGCAGCCTGACTAGCCACCAATGCTCTGAGCTCGCGGACCTCAGCCTCAACGGCTTCCAAACGCACTCCATGGTTCATCTCCTTCATCCCTTTCCCTCTCAGATCAGCTTCCAACATCATATATTTGTCGAATGATGTCTTGGACAGGAAGCGGATCTTTCGGTCCAAGTAATCATCTACTTTCCTCGAGGTCCCAACTTTTGCCTTTTCTGAAGCAATCAGTTCCTGGCCATGCTGATTAAGGAACTCATCCCACATCTCTTTGAGTCCATATGGCTTATGTGGTGGTGATTGATCCGGGAGTACTCCTGCCTCAACCTTTGTCTTTCTTGCCAGATTTCCTCCAAACGTCTCCCCACTCTGACCCGTATTCCCTTGCCTGTCTCCCCCGCGGACACTCTCTCTCACGTGCGGCGGTCGGCTCTCTCCGGGATCTCTGCTCCCATCTCTCTCTGGGGTTGGCCCAGCTCCTGGGGTGGCTCCACAGGTATGGGCTCCTCTAGGTCAGGGTGCTCCAAGGCGTGTGCCGCAAGATGCCTGTCAATCATGGCAAGGGCCTCTCTCCTCCGCTCAGCTCTCTCTTTCTCCCCTTCTACCCTTCCTCCTAGCGAAGGGACCATCTCTGGCGGCGGTAGTGGGATCTGCTCTTGTTGTGATCCCTCTTCCCTGCCTGGGGCGCTCTCTAAGGGGCTTCCAAGTCTCAGTCCCACAACCGGCGTCTGAGGAAGAGTATCCTCCTCAACCTCTATCACCTCCTTTTCAACACACCCCCTCTCAGTACTCGGCCTTCTCTCTCGCTCGGGTCTCGAGGCCTCCCTTCTGGGTGCCTCCTCTGCCGGCTCGTCACGTCTCTCACCTACCGGCGGCATTCTCCACTGTGAGACATCCAGATGCGCCTCCAACTCCTGCAGAGGCTCTCCAGAGGTTGGCACCCCTTCTCGTGTGCGCTGCGGGGATCCTCCCAGTCCATCCTCCGTAAAGCGATGGAGCCCCACCGGTCCCAACCCGCACTCAGGATATGTCCCTCGCCCCTCAGTCTCAGACACTGACATCTCCTCTCGCCTGGTGAGTGCCTTCCGTCCCCTCGAGATGGCCTGGTCTCGCTGGGTTCAGGGTCCCTCTGCCTCTTGCTCCTCTGGCGTCTCTCGACTCTGGGCTGAGGCGGCTCTGGCCGTCGGAATGCCTCTCTCAAGTGCGCCCTGCAGCTCTCCCAATCTCGGGTGATGTCCCTTACCTGCCTGGCCAATGGCCTCTCCGCCTTTCTGGTCCATAGGGGTAACGTTCTCGCCCACTCATCCCTCAATATACCTGACCATGCATGAACTTCTCGAAGGCGGGAATGAACTCCTCTGCATTCCCGATCTCCAGGCGAATCAGTCTGCCGTCAGGTCCCACATGTGATGGTTGTAGTTCCTGCATCCTCGCCTCCACCTCCGGCCTCATCCTTGCGTCCCTACGAATCTGTGCAATGGGCTCCGCGAACCTGCCGACCCCTCTCAGCCTCTCAATCGCCTGGGTCATAATCCAACCCATATGATCTGCATACCCCCAGAACTCGTCCAGGAACAACTCAATATCCCCAATGTCGTACACTGGCGTATTCTCTCAGTGGTGAGACTCATGCCGCTCGTACCCTCCTGATGCCCCCAACGGCCTTCATGGCGATCGCGTCCCCCTCCCTCCTCTTGATATGGCTGTCTTCGTAAAGTCGCACCTGCACAACAGGCGAAGGAGACAACAGGCACACATTGGGGTAAGCAAACAGGTGGTAAATAAGCAAGCTTAGGTCAGACCAAGCACATACATAATACACTCTATCTAACCTACATACCTCAGCCTCCAGCTCTAAGAGAATTAGATTGTCTATCTTACCTCCTCTCTCGCCATAAACTTCTTCAGTCTCGTTCCCGACACCCACTCCTTCCATTCCGTCCCATTTAGCTCTTCAATCTGATATGTGTCGAAATCTCCCCATCGCACAATCCGATAGGGACCTCACCACCTCTTGTCGAGTTTCCTGGACCATTGCTTCTCCAAGGAGGAGTCATATAGGAGTACAACGTCCCCAACTGCCAATGACACTTTCCTTACTCGCGCCGACTGGTCCAATTGGGCCTTATCTTTCATACGGCTTCCTTCCACTCGGCTGGATACTTCCTGGATTCTTTCCTCTATCGCGCCCACTTGCCGCGCTCGAACATCGAGCAATTTTTCGAAAGACAGGCCGACCTCCAAATCCTAACGCCTCCAAGTCTTTAGGAAGCTCTCGATTGGGAAGATAGCATGCCTCTCATACCATAGTGTGGCCGGTGCGTACTTAGTGGTCCTCTTTACCGTAATATTATCGACAAAGAGTGTCGCCCTTAGGTACCTTGGCCACTGATTAGGCCTTCCTTCAGTCCACTTAGCCACAAGGTTTGTAATGGTACTGTGTCCCCTCTCCACCAGAGCGTTTGCCTAGGGGTGCGCGGCCGTGGTGTAGTTGGCTACCACGCCATATCTTGACAACAACTCTTGCACCTCCTGACAGGTAAACTCCGATCCTCTATCCATTACGAATTCTCTGACAAAAGGATAGCGCAGGTAGTACTCCTTGATGCAGCTAACCAAGACTAGCCCGGTCTTTGTACGAATGACCCACCCATCCACAAAGTCAGACATGTTATCACGCGCATCGAAGATGTAATTGTAGTCATGATCTCCGAGTGACATGAATAGCAAGTCAAGATGTACTACGACCCCTATTTCTCTTTCCAACCTTGGATGCAGTGACTCTGACGACTTTAGACAAGATCGCTCTTGACAAGGTACGCAGGACCGACAGAACTTACCAACCATCTCCATCATCCCGTCCCAATAATATAGCTCGCTTATCTTAGCATATGTGGCAGTAGGTCCTCGATGTTCTCCCGCAATGACATCATGAAGTTCAGTTATAACATCAATCTAACGGTTCCTGCCGCATACGACCCTCCTAAGATTTCCCACTTGCTTCTTTACGAAGAGATGACCATCTCTTACCAAATAGCGTTGCATCATTCTTTGGGCTTTATCGGAGAGACGGTTTACGGAGGCCTCAATTTTCAGACCACTTGTTAGGCCATTTATAACCAAACCCAAGGGTCATTTTAACCAAACTTGCCCCTAATTCATAGAGTGGCGATCATACTAACTACTTACAAAAAAAAAATTGAAAAAAAAAAAATTAAAAAGCTATAAAACAGCAAGGCAAAAGTGTGATTTCATGCAAAATTTACTCATTTCAGTTTTAAGGATTTTCAGGATTTTTCAGGGCTAGCCAAAACAGTCAACTCCAAGACACCAACAAACACCAAACTTGGCACACATAGACCTTGACCAAAAATAAAAAGGGCAAAAAAAAAAAAAAAAAAAAAAAAAATCTCCGATGCACTTTTCAGGGTTGAGGGGGATAACCAGGGCTGAAGTGGGGGTCCCTGTTAACCGCTTGTGCCCTATCGCTGACATCTCTATTCCGCATTTCGCATGACAGAAGAAGTCCCAGTTCCAGGTAGATCCCATCATACTCCTCTGCACGGAATGCCTCTTTGATTTCTCCCTCCTGAAACTCGTCATCCTGGCTCTCCGACAACACCTTCTCATTCTCAGCCGGGTTCACCGAGCCTATCTGATCAAGGTCTCCCTGCAGAAGTGTATTGACGAGAAAATACATTCCCCCCATCCACTTGTTCTGCTTCTCTACCCAATTTGGTCCTTCCTCTATTGTTCTCACTTTCTCTACCAGACTATGAGTGCCCGCCAGCGCCAACTTCATCATCAATTGGACATCTCTGCCGCCCCATGGATCTTCCTCTTCGAAAGGCTTGAGAACCAGCTCTGCCTTCCGTTCATACTCACTTGGCGCACGCCATATATGATCGCCAACGCAGCCAGATATGATAGCTTCCTGATCTAAGAAGCTATCGACTAGGGGCGTGTTCTCTACCGCCTCCCCCTCTTGCTTGTCCCAGTTGATATGGCTCAGCCCGTCCGCTCTGTTCTTATTTCTTGGAATCCATTCCAACTCGAAATTAAACATCCAGATGTACGTTAGCCATCTGGCAACTGTCAGATCTGATGGAACGTAATTCCTTAGGGAATAGGCCAGAGCAGTCGGGTCCACTTTCAATATGTACCTCCTGCCAAAGATATAGTTTCGAAAGATTCGCAGACAGTGGAGGACGGAGAGAGTCTCTCTTTTGAACTGCGAGTAATTTCTCTCAGTCGTATAGAGAGTTCGGCTCTCAAATCACAACGGTCTCTCTTTCCCTTTTGTATCTGCTTGGATCAAAACTCCACCTAAGGCAGTCGGCGCAGCATCCATTTCAACAATGAATGACCTTGTCTCTGTAGCATCATAGTCCGACGCTCCCAATACCAACCCTCCTTCTCTGAACTCTTCCTTCATTTTTGCCACCACTTTCTCCTGCTCTTCACCCCAGACCCATTCCTGATCCTTATGAACCAATTTTCTCAGGAGTTCAGTCTTTGCAGGGAAATTTTTGATGAACGCCCTCCAAAATCCCCAAGTGTCGAGGAAGCTTCTAACATCAGTTATTGACCGGAATGGTACTGGCCACTCAATAATCTTGTCCGTCTTCTTTACGTCCGGCCGACGGCCCTTCTCAGTACAGACGAACCCCAAGATGGTAGCTTCCTTCATGCAGTGTCTGGATGTGGCCCCACTTGCAGTGAGATTATGCTCTTCAAGCAGGTTCAAGACTTTATCAAGGTCCTGAATATGTTTCCAGACAAAGCGCCTCATTCCTGGCAGGACTTCGCCGTTCTCCTTCACCATTGGCCCCTTCACCGCTAAGTCATCGATATACGACTGTGTGATGTGCGGGCTGACTGATTGCATAGCTCGAATCATCGCCCGTTGAACCATTGCTACCGCGTTGGTCCACCCTTGCGGAGCCACATTCATATGGATCAGCCCTCGAGGCGTATGCATTGTCGTCACCGGCCTGTCTGGCGGGTAAACCGAAAATTGGTCATATCCGGATTAAAGGTCTATAAGTGAAATTGTACGTCTGGCAATCCTCCCGCATCTCGCACAGTCACCGCATTCAGCCGCTGCAGATCTTGGACCCATCGCAGCGTCCCATTGGGTTTGATGAAACAAAACCACGGAGATGCATACGGCCCACTTGAATAGTCGGCGATATGCGTACATATCTTACCGTCGAGGTAATCAACCACCTTCTTCTCTTCGTCAGGATTAAGATATCGCGCCCTTCTCAAGTTCCATGGCTCGTGCGACACGGTATGGATGCGGATCATAGGAATTATATCCACATCCAACCTGCCGCGCTCCTCGTCACTAAACGCATAGGCGCGATGACTCTTCTTCATTAGCTCTATCATCAATGCTCTTTCCTGAGGCAGCAGGAAGTCAGACTCTCCAATTATCAATTTCTCTTCGTTCCCTTCGTTGATACGGCACGGCCCAGCTGAGGCGCTCTCCTTCATCCATCGTATCAACCCTCGCTCTCGCTCGTAGTACACTTCCTCATCTTCGGTAATGAGGACGGGAACTCGGCAACACTTTTTATTTATCGTCTTGTACCGCCTTTGGGAACCCTGCTTGAGCCTTTCCCTAAAATAGGCCGGCTTACAGCTTGTGATTGCATCGACGCCGGACTCCTCCTTCCCCCCCGAAGTCGATATACCAACTCAAATTCTCCTGCCTAGGAACACTCCAAGACTTGCTCCCTCAGTGCCTGGATGGCGTCTGGATCCGCCATCTCGTGCTTGGCCACTATATCCTTAGCCTTACTCACATCCAACAAGCCGAGGGAGAACGCCTCGATCCTTTCCTCCTCTTTCGGTTCCATAAAGAGTCTCCGACACTCACCCTCTGACTCCTCAATAGTGAATGGGCCCGGGTTGGGTCGATTTCTTATGCTTTTGGGTCCTGTATTCTTGCAGGTGATCACTTCATAATTCCCGCAGGCAGGGTCACACATGATAAGGATCAGAGTTCCATCGTGTTTATTAAACATCAATGTCTCTGTCCTGCATAAGGACCTCCCCAAGAGAATTCTGTGATTCACGTCAGGCATAACAAAGAAGCATGTCCTGACCTTTACCCTTCCAACCTCGATAAGTACATTCGAGGCTGTCCCACAAAACACCGCTTTACAGTTGGCTCCATGTAGGACACCGCAATCCGAGCGGTCTATCTCTAATCCGAACCTGATCGCGTCAGCCTCCCGGATAATGTTCATCTCAGCTCCCGTATCCACCATGGCTGAGCACTTGGAGTCTTTTACCACCAGATGCACTGTGCCACAAGCTACGCACTTCCAGTCCATCTTCGTCCCCGTTTCCGCCCACTCAGCTTCCTTAGGCAGGATCATACTTAGATGGACGCTGGGCACCAAGCGTCGCGACAATCTCTCTTTGAGCCCGTCACGAAGCTTAGGTGTCGACGCCAAAATCTCCTTTAGGGTCATACGGTCGTTGTGACCCTCCAACAATCTATCAATCACCCTCTCCACGTTGAACCCTTCTTCCAACCGAACCGCATACTTTTTCTTCTTGGGCGGCACATCGCGCAGGATTGACTCGACTTCTTCCCTGACCTGTCTCTTTGTAGCCCTCTGTTCCGCCCTCTGATCTTCCTTTTGGCGCAGCCTTTCATCCTCTTCTTCCTCCTCGTCATCATCCTGCACTTCTACTGCTTCCTTTCTCTTCTCTGGTTCAGGTTCTTTTCGAGGAGGCTCTTGGCTTGCACCAGTTTTAGCCTGACCTCGGGTACGAGCCGCCTGCGCCGGCCTTCCCTGCGGCGTAAGGGGTCTGGTCATCATCCCTGACCGCGGGCCTGATCCCACGGTGGTCACCCCGGGTCGTCCTGGCATGGATTCTGGGCCGGATTCATAGAGGAAGACCTTGGCACAAATGGTTAACGGGGACCTCCATTTTCAGCTCCTAACTAATGAGACCAAAACTGAAATTAGGGTTTGGGGGTCAAATTTTTGGTTTTTTGTTTTTTTGTTTTTTTGCCTGTTTTTGTTTTGGTTTAAGGTTGCTGTCTGCCAAATTTGGTATTATTTGGGTTATTAGAATTTGTGCTGTTGGGAGGCCTGAAAATCCTAAAATTTGGATGATGTGTTTCATGCCAAAATTGTCTGAAAATGCACTTTTGGGTTGCTGTTTTATGTGTTTTTATTTTTTTTTTTTTGGATTTTTTTCTTAAATATGTTAGTAAGAAGTGCACTCTATACATTGGTGTGGAGTTTGGTTGAAATGGCCTTATGGTTTTCTTATAAATTGACCTGAAAAATGGAGGGTCGGTTAACCTTCTCTCGACCTTGGGGATGTTGGCCCTCCATTCCTTCACTCCTTCACAGAGGTCCATGAACTTCTGTTGGTATCTTCCCACCTTGTCCAATAGGTCCTCCATCTTCCCCAGCAGGACTAATGGGGGTTCTACTTTCTCCTCTTCATTCTCGTCCTTTGACTCAACGACTATGGGCTCTTCCTTTATATCCCCTGCCTGTAGCCTTTGGGTCACCTCCTCATCACTTCCCACCTTTTCCACTCTAATTGGTGGGTCCTCTTTCGCCTGCCACAACCTGAACGTGGCAGGCGGTGCTTGCCGTGCAGCTACTCTTCTCTGGGCCTCCACTCTCACTCCGCCAGGGACCTTTCTATCAATGTACTCCCCGAATTGATCATATATGTCGCCATCCATGTTGGAGTAAATCAGTCTCACTCTCTCATCCTTCCGCCTTGTGTTGCAGAATTGTATGGTGTGACCTTGCTTGTCACAGTGTTGGCATATGGCTGTTCTCCAATCAAAACGGGTCCTTCCGCTCCCCTGGTTCCCTTGGTTACCTTGACTTCCCTGACCCTGGTAACCTTGGTTATCCCGTTGACCTCCTCGACCACCACCATTTTTGCCGCGTCCTCTTCCACCGCCTCTTCCTCCATTCCCTTGGTTTCCCTGGCCTTGATTACCTCCACCTGCCACGCTACCTTGTGAGCTAGGCGCGGGCGACGGAGGTGGCGCCACGGGTTGGGCCTGAGCGGTGAGGAACTTGGAGGCGGCATACTTACTTGGGGCCCACCGTATGGTACCACCTGCCCTGACGGCGTTGGACTTCCCCATGGTACAAATGTATTGTATATGGGCCATGGCCACTGCCCGTATGGTGGAACCGGCACTTGCGAGGGTCCCGCACTGCTTGACGGAGCCGACGCACTAGGTGGTGCGGCTACCACTGTCTGAGGCATCTGCCCTTTTCCTGAACCTTGCCCCCCCTAAGCTAGGTTGCGCTACTTGCGTAGCGCCTTCGAGAGGTGTTGAGGCACATGCTCTTCTTCTTCCCACTCTTCTTGAGCATCTTTCTCTACCACTGGTACTTTTCCTTTACCTTGGACCACTGTCACTACCTTTTTCTGTATTACCCCATCTTTCCCATAACCCAATTCCGCCAGCACGTCAGTGACAATCCTTCTCACTCCCGGGGTTCCGGACACTGTGGCATCCCTCTCCTTCCTCTTACGCCTTTGCAGGCGCATCTGGTGTTGTTCCACCTCGTTCAAGCTTCCTTCTGCCACACCCTTATCGACAGTGGCCCATGTAAGTTTCTCGCTTCCTCCTCCATGGATTGTTAGTTCTGCAGCCTCCGCGGCGGTGAGCAGCCCCAGAAAGATAGCACATTGGGCTTCCTCTGAGATGCCGTGAACTTTTCTCGCCTTCTTCTTAAATTCTTGCACAAACGCCCCCACCGTGGTAAAGTCGTCCCTGCTCATGGCTTCTAGGTACGCCGTGGTCAGCAGTCCATCGCCCAACCTATACTTCCTTCGCATCCCATCCTTAAATCAGGCCCAGCTCCCATTGGCCCCATTTACAACCTTCTCCACCTCCTGATGGTGAAAATGAAGTACATACTTCAGGATGCGCTTGAATTTTACTTCATCTCGTAACCCTACCAAGGCTTGCTTCACCAAGTCCAACCAATCAGAGACTCGTTCCCCATTGAAGTGGAAAGTGTCGACGTTGGGGACATTTCTTGGCGTCCTTTCCCGCTTGTCCAGTGCCTCAATGAGGTCCTCAAGTGTCAGGACTCTCCCTTCGCCATCTACTATAGGCCCCGACATCCTCGAGGTTCGTCTTTACCCGCCTTTCCCTGCTTTAAGAAGACCACATTGTCTCATTCGGCAATCCGATTCTATCACACCTTACGTCAGACCTCTACCATAATTAGCCTACGACCCAGGCCCAGCAGGTCCCATCTTATTTCCTCGCCTATAGGATATATTATTAATGCGCCCCATTTCTCCTTACAGGGTCCCTCATAACTTTTCAATTTAAGCAATCAGTCTATTTCAGAAATACAAAACAGCTATTTTATCACAGATAATCGGGCAAGATATTATGTGCTTACTCTTTCCTCATATGCCTATTTCCTCTCATTCTTATACCCGGATGTCGTTCCACCAGGGACAACGGTAGGCTTCCGTTATCCCCGGCAACGACGCCACCTGTCGAGTTCATCGGTCCGGCACCGCATAAAGACAACGCGGGACCCTCTCGGCCCCGTCACGCAGGAGTTGGACTAAATCCTCGTCCCGAATATACATGGAGCTTCCGCAAAGCCGCTCTGGCCGAGTGCGTCAGCCATACCTCTCGCGAGCCCCTACGACACGATAGGGCCTACGCGAGGCACGACTTACCTCCACCTTACGGGAGTTGTCACCTCCCTTCGGTGGGCTTATCCCCGCCGAGCTACCAGTCCACAGTACGAAAGTTAATCATCTGCAATAGCAGAGGTCGACCAGCCGAGGGTGTTTCTTGTTCGTTGTAGCATAGGGGGTACGCGTGGTACTACGCCTCTATCGGACGCGCACGTGAATCGACATCTTGGGGAACCAATGTCCCAAGCGCGGTCCGTCGTTGGTCGGCTAGGATGCATCCCACACGCCACGCGCATACCACTATAAAGAACATAAAAAACAAAACACATATACACACGTAAATATATATAATATATGTACATAACGTCACTGAATAGACAACGCGACAACGCTCCTAGCTCCTTAATATCATCCAATAACTTTCCGATGCGGAAATCAGATAGGTGTCGTGTGAGAGCCTTAGTATAAAACCGCGTGGACGTAGGGCTAACTCATATCGATTCGCAATGCAAGCAGACGCAAGCGATCGCAATGATGACGTACTATGTAGTACCCATACTCATGCGACCCTTGTTAATCTCCAGGGTCGCATTTGACACTCAAGTGTCGGCTAACATGCGCTTTGAGGGTTAATCTCTCGACGCTGGACAACCGCCAAGTGCGGTTGATAACCACACCCTCCTTTGCATCCTACGGAGAGTGGGTGGTACACAGGTTCATACCTGTGGTGGCAATCGTCTCTTATCGGCATGGAGACCAGCTCCATCATCTAGGGTCTGGAAAGAAGTCAAGGGGTTTGACTTTGACGGCTGCCACGGACTACAACGTCTAAGTATAATAACTCTAAGAAGCAAAAATAGGTCGAAGGACCTCCACATCCCAAAATTCACAACCTTGGATAGCCCTGCCGGTTGACACGAACGGCTTATCCTGACTCTGGACACACACGTACACAAACGAATTACCTAATCCCATAACTCCAAACACTAGGACGGGCGGACGTTGCGCATAAGATTTTAATATAAAGTTGCGCGGCTCAAGGCCATTCCTTCATCGACCGGTGATGCTAATCATACACAGCAATCGCAGTTTCGGCCTTGCGATATTGAATGGCTAAAGGAATATATCGTGGGGGGTTGCCCTTCATGATATTGAATGGCTGAAGGATATGTCGTTCAGCCCTCGCGACATTTCTGCCCTCTGGGTTGGGTGTCTCGACGGGCAGGGCAGGTAGGCTCTGCGCACAGGAAGATTTCTCTCCTGCAGAGTCTAGGGCCTGGGATGTCCTGGACAAGGACCTCGAATCCCGGCCCAGGACCAACGTCCGACTAATAATTCTTCAAGAAACATATAAATAAAATAGAGGGGTCTTCCCCCTTTTCCCAATCTCAACCCCTAGTTAACACCTTAGTACGCGGGTCCCCTCAGGTCGCGCGAACATCCAACATAGGTACACACACATATATATAAAGGGGGGATAGTATGTGACGATCACTTCTCACAATCACAGTGGGACTCCTCATAGCCATATATATATATAAGATCGCAGGCAGTCCAATCCAAAATCCGAACTACAGAACATACTAGCAATCATTTGAAAGAGTCGCACTGAAGTCCATGCACTACACGGAGTCAACCCCAGTCAATCTTTATACTCATACCGCTCGCTTTAACCATGCAAGCCCCAACCTCCAGCCAACCAACCATAATTAAATACTCTGTACCTTTGTTAAATGATCATTCAATAAAAGTCCGGGTGAAACCTTGAGTATTGAGGATGAGTTGGAATTGAGTCGTAAACCGTCGAATCGGCAACCGACCTGTTATCAGTGATAACAGATGACGATCCTTGTAAGATCGAGTTGAATCTTATCCTGATCTCAAACCAAACGTCCAGAAGGACATGTACCATACGACAGGCCAACCCCAAGCTAAATCTATGAGTCCAAATCAAGCGTAACCTCCATATCTCAAGTCCACCAAGAGTCGTTCTACCTAACCAATCCCGGGTCTATCCTTAAACCAACGCCTAAAGGAAAGGTAGGAATTTTGACAGAATTTTCTCTATATAGAGTGAACTGCCAAAATGGTCACCTGTCACATTATAATCTAACTCCTCTAAATTTAGGAAAATTTCGGCAGCGATTCTTGTAGGAAAAATGCCCTCGCAAAATTTGTAATAGTCCAAATATGAAAACAAAAATAACCCCTAACTATGGAAAGCCCAATTTTGTCTTCCTAAATTAGTAAAAATTCGGGCAGCACTTCCTCTAGAAAGGTACACTTCCCAGATTTGTACTCAGTCGGATATGAACTCAGAATCGATTCCTGAGTTCAACTTAAGACAAAATTTGACTAACCCCTTAGATTTTGTAGAAATTTAGGCAGCGTTTCCCGTAGAGAAAGTACTATCTCAAGATTTATACAAAACTAAGTTTATAAAAAATAAGTGACTTTGACTTCTCAAAGTCCAATTTTGTCTAGCTCCCTGAAATGGCAAAAATTTGGGCAGCACTCCCTTTAGAAAAGGAGACTCTTCATATTTTCACCAAGCCATAACATCTAGACAAATTGAACTTTGAAAAAGACAAAATCTAATTAACTCCTTGGTTTTGTAGAAATTTCGGCAGCGCTTCTCGTAGAGAAAGTGGCTTACCAAGATTTATACAAGACCAAGTATAATAAATGATCCCAGAAAATACAGAACTTGATCTAAGTGAAAAAAACTTAGCTAAAAAAATGTAGGAATTGAAACTAACTCCTATGGCTCTAGCATGAGGCGAGCAACTAAAGCAATTACCTATCAAAGTGAAACTCAGACGAAGTAGTAGCCTCACTCAGTCACATGCAGGTCAAGCCACCAAGGTAAGTACTCTCACCATCCCAAGTTCATCTGATCAAACAATAGTTCATGATCTTTCAGTGATTTAGCCCCCTATACCCAGCTTACATAAGGCACAAGGTCAGGACACCCAAACTTATGGAATGTGCCTTACTTAGCCAGGCATAAAGTCAGGCCACCTAAACTTATGGAATGAGTCTAACTTAGCCAAAGTGTCTATACAGAACAGAGGGCACAACTACTTTTCTCTTCTTTGGGCATATGACTAGGTCATTCTAGTCGCCCTGAATTGTTTAAAATATCGAAGTTATATATATTTGTTTTTCCTTTGTCTTCTAAGGCTGCATATGACTGAATTAACTTAAGTTCAGCCTGCCCCATCTTACCATTAGTTATATTCTTAATTATACTTTCTTCAAGTCATGATAAGCTATAGTCAGACTACCTAAGCTTATAGAATAGTCTGACTAGCCTGTTCTTAAATAAAATAGTAATAGAATATAGTCAAATTGTAGCCTTTGGGTTCCAGTATGTACGAGGCCTTGGGTCAGACCACTTGAACTTACAGTCTGACCATTTTCCTGATTCGTTCCTCTTTGATTCAACTTGTGCGTGACATTGGGCTAGATTACCTAAACTTGTAGAATGATCTGCCCTTTATCAAGTTCATTTCCTCAGAAATAAAACAAGAAGAGGCTGAGCCACCTAAACTTCTAGAATGGCTCAGACCTCCTCGTTCAGAACCAACTAAACAGAGGAAAACCCGAAATAAACAAGGCAGCCAAGGCACCTGAACTTACAAAACGCACTTGACCTCTGAAAAAGTCAATCAGAAGTAGCCATCGCAAGTCAGAGCAACCAGATCACCTAAACTTATAGAATGATCTGATCCTCAATGCAAATCCACAACACTAGGTCTCCCCAAACTTATGGGGACTTCCCAACCTCCAGAGCAATCAGACCACCTAAACTTATAGAACGGTCTGACGCTCCACACAATCCAAAATAAACAAAGTACTTAGTCTCCCCAAACTTATGGGGACTTCCCAGTCTCGATAACCCAGTTAAACCCCCGCAAAACTGCTTCCTATCCTGCCCTTTCCCAGATGCAATTTCTTTTCACAATCTGCCTTCCATCAATCAACAAAGCTGAAACCAAGATTTGCATGCATTCCTTTATTTAATCTGATTTAAGTCCTGAAGTCATACAAAAGTCAAAGTAGGGTTGCATACTATATACTCAGTCAAACATGCAATGGGCAATACAGATAGGGATTATAACCTGGGTTTATAGAGGGGGATGAAAAGTTACCGTACAGTTCCGTGCCTT